CAGCTCTTATTCTCTGCAGTATAATTTTGACTGATTCTCTGATCTGGAATCCTATATATAATATAACTTTAACTAATTCTCTCGTCTGGAATCCTATATATAATAACTATGTATTGAATCTATTTTATCATAAAATAAAATTCTTGCTTCCACAAAGTGGATATAGCTAGTCTGTCATAAGCTCTCTTGGAAGGTTGGTATCATCTGAAAATGTCAATATATTGCTGCTGCCTAGTTATATATATCTTCATGCAAATAAACATCAATAAGGATATATAATACGATTTCTAATCATAGCAAGAGGCTGAAATATTACTTAGCTGGTTTTTGCAAATTAAGCATATATATGTGTGTGCTGTGTGTATATATATATTATATGTGTGTGTAACCACTTTTGTAGCTAGAACCTGGAAATATTTCAGCTTCCTACTGCAATGTTGATGATGACTTTTGTTTTAAACAACAAATTAAAGCAGGAAACAGGAATTCTCTATTCTATCATGAAAAGTTACAGTGAGTATAAGGGGAGAATGAACAATATTATTTGGCAACAAAGAGTACTTGGATAATTAATTTGAACAAATGCTTTTTTATTTATGCATGTTATGGAAAGCTCAATTAATTCAATCCTATGTGTTTTAGCATTAGATTCACTGGTTTTTCTAGCTTTTAGTTTTCTGCATGTTTGGTTTTTCAGTTAAGGTTTCTATCCTGTGAGCAGTCAGTGATCTCTAAATGTTGTTTCTAGCTTGATGGCAGCAGGTAAATGGCGGTTATCCAGTCCTCATTGTATGACAGGTAAGTGTGTGGATATAAGCTAGCATTGATAAAAAGTTTCTAAATATGCTTGCAATTTGCAGAGGGGGCCCATGTTGAAGATGTAATATAGCAATTGTTTTTATTCATAAGCCTTCTTCATAGAGAAAGCTGACCCTATTAGCTGAATGTGTAGGTTGAACCAACAGGCAACAGGCATCTTGGTGTTGCTGACAGTCAATGCTGACAGTCAAGTCAAATAATATTGCTGATAGCCTAACCTCGTCTAGAAACATGCCACATTAAACATTATGAGAAAAAAAAAGCAAACAATTTGCAAATACGATTTTTCCTTTTCTTATCATGTAAATAGTAGTTAAGAAGATATTATATATAAATTTTGACACCACATGAAACATCTATATCTTCTCTCTCCATAGGACCAAATCTAATCATCATAAAGAAATATTAAAACAAGCTGAAGAGGAGATCAAAATACAGTACTCATAAGTCACTTTACTTAATAAGAGACATGACATGCATGCATATATATACACTCATGCAAATGCACTTCTAAGTGCTAATATAACTGTGAGCTTTTAACATGCATGCTAATCTCATAGTTCAGTCAATTGGAACAACTTGAAATGTGATAATCGTCATGTTGTTGGTTCAGATTTCAGCTATTTAGTAAAATTAAGGTTCTAAGAATAATATATAGTACATTGTACTGGCCTGCTAGAACTAGCTAGAAGGCTTTCACATAAGACAGTACATCTAATTCATTCTCTAGCTTATGGCAAATTATAAGGAAGTTTGCAGAGATACCATGAATCAATCAGAATCATGGTTCTGATATGATTCACCCACATTCCTTTCTATGTTTTCACTACCTAGCTAGTATAAGCACACGTATATATTTCCAGGTCTGTCAAGAGTCATCCAGGAGATTATTGGAAAGCAAAATCCAGTTGGCAAGCAGCAAGACATTGGTGAAGTTAGAAAAGTTTTATACTATCAATTCCTTTATGTGTGGAATTGGCACTGCATGAAATATTAAGTAGTGTTTCTGACCAGTTTATCCGGAATGGCATTTTTATAATGGATGAAATTTTGGCCCAAAACCATTAACATTGTGGACTTAAACTCCCAAACAATTATTTCTGGAACCCAACCTTCTGCTCTAGAGCTGGATTGATTCTGAGGTAAATTCATACTACCATGTAAGTTTCAACAAATTTCAAAAGGAAACAAAAATGAATTGTCATTCTCAGACCTGAATTTCCCTGTAATTTATATGTCTAATGCTTGCAAAAGTGCAGTCAACAAGAATAGTAATAAGAACAAATGGACAAAATCTAAAGTCAGCAGGATCATGGTGTTTCAATTAATATTTTTAGGTAATGAAAATAGACAGTGAACAAACAATGTGAAAATGTGAAAAGTCTCTTTCTCTGAATTTTCATGGATTTATATCAATGGAGGCTATGGACATAAATTTCTTTGACGTTTGACCTGTTTTTAATTCAAGTTGTGGTACGAAGGGGCCCCATTATGTTTTTCTTTTTCCTTTAAAAGATAAATAAAAATTTTCTGAAGGGTAATACCAGACTTTCTTCTGCCCATGCTTGTGCAGCTAACATGTTTCCATGTGGGACTCCCAATTGCTGATATTCTCAAGCCCACATGATCATTAAGACATTAAAGAAACAAAAAAAAAAGAAAAAACTTCGCTAAACCCTAAAAAAGAAGGTATAGAAGATGCTTTCTATTGCAGCCACAACACACCATGTGATTGATTTTGACCCATCCTTCCAATATGTTTGACCAATCAAATCTACAGTTTCTGTTTTTCCTATAAATATAATTAAGTTCCTTATTGAAAAAAGGAAAGGTAAAGCAAAGAGAAGGAAAAACCCAAGTTATAGGATCTTTGCCTCTTTAGAGTGTAGTAATAGAATTAAATTATTACTTTAGATTTTTCATTTTTCACAAAATTCAAAAAAAAAAATTAATAACAATTTTTTTAAAAAAATATCATCTTAACAAGTATCATAAGCACTAATTAACATTTTCCTTTATAAATTACAAAAATCTTGAAGTAAGTTTGTGTTTAGATAATTCAAAGAAATTAGATACATTTTCTCTATTTTTTAAATAAAAACAATTTCTGAAGTTATTTATCCGTTAATCAAATGTTCTTAGATCTTAAGGCTATAATAAGGTTTAGAACAAAACGAAAGCATTCTCTTTATTCTTTCCCTTAAAACATCTAATTTTCCACTAAAATGTCTGAAGTTTTCTTATCTTAAAAGAGAAAGATATCATAAACCAACATAGGTTTGAGAACATGTGAAACCAAAGACCTTATTACATATATCTGCATTGTAAAAACATTGACTAGTCAACTTGTCTCATCAACAAAATATGTTGTTCTTCAGATTCCCCATTTATTACACTGAAAACAATGTCAAGTTTAAATTAAATCTGAAAAGAATGAGACTTAAGCAAGCAAAATTTAAATCCCTTTTATCTCAAACTATATAGTGTTATACAATATAATTATCATAAATAGTAAAGTGCAGAAATCAATTGAAAATCCTTGTAGGTTGCCCCATAACAGAAGATGCATTATTGCACAAATCAATTTCATCACATGGTGAGTTCAGCAGGGCACCCTGGTGAAATATTTTAATATGAAGCTGTGTTTGTCTATTGAAGGAATAATAATTTTTTATGTGAAAATTTCAAGCTTCTGTTTGTTGATCCAAAGGGTTGCATGTGCATGTGAATCCTAATTCCCATAGATAATTTTATGCTTTTAATTTAGCTATTATAATCCTATAGTACAGTGAAAGCTACAAATAACTAGTGTTTCTGATCAAGATTTCAAGTTGAAAAAACATAAAGTTTTTATCATTGATGGAGGATCAGTATGACATATTTATCAGACGTAATACAGAACCATTTTACATTAAAATATCTATTGATCCAAACTGATGGAAGAATCCTATGAAAGGAAAAAAGTGTGAGAACTAGATTTTTTTTCTGGAAAAGAAGGATTTCGAACCTTATTTTTTGAGCAAGAGATCATGCATCAACCAAATGAGTCAAATGTTCGGGTGCAAATTTATATGCTTTTTGGAGGAAAGAAGAAAAACAATATTTTGCTTTGAAGCCATGAAATGAAAATGAAGCAATATTTTACACTAAAATTAACAGACTGTGTTCATGGATTGACATCCTCTTGTAATCATGCCTACACATTAGGGAAATAAAAATGAAGGGATAAAGCCTCTTTGCTTTACCCAACATTTTGGATGGAGAATGACCATATCTATTAGATCATACTATGAAATCAGAACAGAAAAGTTAGGTTGCAAGAGATTCTCTGCTTCACTACAGTAATTGTTCTGCTTACAGATTTCAATTCAATTGAGAATTTGTAGAGTTAGAATTCATTTTACATCCTTCACAAGTAAATAATTTAGACAGTGAACCATAAAAGCAGCAAGGACATAATAATTATGGGGTCTCCTAGGAAAACTTGTTGAAGAGAGTAATTTTTGGCAATGGCATAAAAATGTGATCGGTGTAGCTTGGAAGGATGTGCTGCAACTATCAGAAGGGAAGATATATGTTTTGAAATGTGACCTCAAACATGAAGTTGTGGAGAGAAGACCAAACGGCCCCATTTATGGTTTGTGGGACTCCATCAAGTAGCAGAATGTCACTGTGATAAGTGTGTGTTCCATTCATCAAACTGCAAAAATTATTTGAATTTTTAAACCTAACCCTGTCTTTTTGTAGAACAACGGACACAATCCATATCACAAGAACCAGCTAACAACACCATGACCCCCCCTTCCCTTCCCTTTTTCCTTTCTCTATCACTCTCATGTGTGTGTTTTTTGTGGTATAAACTTAAAATACTGACATTATTATGGAGCCCTGTACGGCAATGGTGTATACAAAAATAAATGATGGATCTCCAAGAGTGAGGAGATTCAAAAATCAGGCAAAATCTTATATATCAGAAAGAATGAGGACCTCCAAAATCTTCAGACAACTGACCAATGGTATCTTGCCACGACAGCAACAACGGTAAGTATAACATGCAAAACTCACATAATAACCATACAAATCAGTCCTAAGGTCTAAGAGAGAAGTACCAAAGATTTTAAAAATCTGCCATTAGTCCTAAGGAGAGTATAGAAATTGACATTTTAAAGGCTAAATAACTATTGATCAAATCAAATTAACATGAGGTCCTACTTCTCTCTATATATAAGAAACATATAGCCCCACTATTGTCTACAACCCTGAGAATCCTTCTCAGTCACATCTCCTTCTAAACTTCTCTTTAATTTTCTATGTTCATCTCTTGCACGCGCAGACAAAGAGGTTATCAGGTTAAGTGAAGAGATCAAGCTCTGAGAACTGTCTATCTATTATTGCTAGTGTTGCAGCTTCCAAGCTTATTCCATGGATGAGAAGTGGAAAATATCAAAGAAGGAAGCTTCAGGTATCCATTGTTCAAGTTCTTCAAAGTTTTCTCTTACAAGGAGTTTTTCAACGAAGAGCATTTCTTCCAAGTCTCCTCTTCTTAGGAGTTCTTCACAGAAGAGCCCATGTTCTACTTCTTCTTCTTCATCATCTAAATGTCCGTTACCACGAAGCTTTTCGCAAAAGAGCTCATCCATTTCGCGTAAATGTAGTAGCTTGGCCAAGGAACAGAAGGCAAGATTTTACATTATGAGGCGCTGTGTTGCCATGCTTGTTTGCTGGCATAAGCATGGAGATTCTTGAGGGAAAAAAGATGGAGATGACCATATATAGATCATCAGGGAATTAAGGTTCATTTCTCCACTTGTTTGTGCAGGATGGTTCTTGGATTTTGTTTGTCTTGAACTCATGGATTTCATATCCATTGGATCAAGAACATATAAATGTCACAGACTTTTTCTTGCTTACCTTCATTTTTAATTAGTTCAGTTCAGTTTGTAATTATAAATGAGAGAGCAACAAGTTTTATAGTTGTAAGAAAAGACTATATTAACAAATAGGTTTCTGTCAAAGACCCCTTTTTCTTCCTCCCTTTCCACCCTGTGATTTCTTTTTGTTTTCCCCTTGATATATTAATCAAAGCAGATCTCAAAATAGGAGGTCCTCTTAAATTTGATTTTCCTTTTAGAGTGGCTTTTGGTTCGTTATTTTGTTCCTATTTTCTTCTTTTTTGTGTATTTATTGATGACAGAGAGATTCCTTTCAGCTGTTGCAGCTGCCAATATAATAATATGACATCATTGGCTTTTGGATCTTCATTGGGAATGAAAGCCACCCTTTTCCCATTTTAGAAAAAGTGGTAGGAAATGAATTTTCTGTTAACAGTGGAAGGCAAAACTTGGATTATTATTCCATAAATAAGGTCTGCCTCTTTCCCTTTCACTTCTCCCCCACTTATCTTAATTTTTTCATCTTTCAACTCAACAAGTCAGCCCTGAAACTGTTTTCTGATGTGCTAAAACTTACCTAGTAAGATCTTTCTTTTCAGCCCAAGCTAATGCTAAGAACTTCTACTTGGGATAGCAGTAAATGATGAATGACAAACATGAGAATCAGTGAAAAACATTTCTTCAACACTTCATTGGAAGGAGTAGTACATCCTGACTGCAAAGTTTTCCATGTGCGAGGAAACAAAATACAAGGAAAAATCATTTTAAACTCAAAACACACTTAAACCAAGAATTGTGTCTGAGGTACATGTACCATAGTCAATTAGCATCAGTCAGTTCCAGCCTTCACCAAATAGTAGCATTTTAGCTCAAATATCTTGACAGTCTACGTTTTAACAACTCTGTTATTACTTTCAAAACAAAGGGATCTCAGTACAATTATTGACAGATAAATTTTGTAAGTTGTGTTCAAGTTCTAATTACAGTATGGAAATAGCAAGATGAATGGATGAAGCTCCTCAAAGCTTAATTTCACATGGAAATTGGCAAACCATTTTCTCATTCCACCTTGTCCGTCTAGGGCAATGTTTGTCTGATAACATAGTATAATATTTTTCCTCTTGTTTTTGACTTCCCTGCACTGTTGCAGCAACTTCATTTTCAGTAATACAAATACACTGGTTCAGCAATTAGTACTGGAGCCAGCATTTTGTATATATGGCTGTCTTTATAACTACCTGGGCTCAAAACAAAAGTTATTACTGTAAATGAACCTCCATAGACAGAGTTGGAAGCAACTGACAGTAATATGTCATTTAACTTCAGTACTTTGAACTTCTGAGCCTTTTATCTGTTAAGATTACGAGGGAGAGGACTAGTATAAGTGACTGTGATGATCAACAAGATTTCAACCAATTTAAAAGGCTCAAATCCTTTCAATAAACCAAAGATTTTAACTATGATCTATGTAACTATGCAAATACAGAATTAACAAATTCCAAATTCTTTCAATTATGGGCATAGTTTTACCAACCAAAACAAAATTATCTAAAGTCAAGAAATGAATTAAACCCTCTCTATCTAAACCAAAATACATTAATTTAGTAAGAAAATAAGAAATTGCATGTTGCATACATTATGACCAAATACCTTCTAAGAAAGGTAGGGTACAGCAGGATCAACAGTAATCCGGCAATGGGATTTGCTTGGAATCCTTATGTCTAAGAAAATTCAAGGAATTAGTAAGGTATTTCTGCAGGATGAAATACAAGAAATCAGTAGTAAGGCTCAATTTTCCCACTTGCAGGAACACCAAATCTTATGGCAGCATTCTGAAAAACAAGCATCAAAGCAGGGCGATTGGAATCAAGGACTGAATGTAAGTGATGGGAATATAAGAAAATAGCTACTTCACCATATATTATTCCTGAGATGAGGTTAGAAAGCTTCAAATTTTGGAGAAGAACAAGATGTGAAAATTGGCATGTTCTTGTCCACAAAAAAAGAAGGGATAAAGGACTAATAATTCCACCGCTGCTCTTTTTTGGATAGCCAGTTGGCAACACATCAACTTTTGCCTCAAGTCTGGATTCAAACATTATGATCAACATCATCAAAATCAACAAAAGAATCATGTCTTATTAGATACAGAATCATAAGTTACTGTCACATAAACCATTATGACAGTCCAAAATTTCCAAGTTCTATCATTCTTAGTAATGAAATTAAGATGATGATCACTTTCCTATTTGATCAGTGGTCGGTCAAGAAGCACCAAACAAACAAGTTACATCCTACGCCACCTAGTAGTCCATCAATCTCTAATCTGTCCCATTTTCATTGCAATGGCAACCTTTTTGCCAATTTTTTTGTTCCGTTTCACTTCTTCATCTCAACCGATAGTAAATAAATTAATGTCTATTAATAGTCCCCTTAAAAATAGAATATTTTAGAGGAATATTTAAATATGATTTTTTTAAAGCTATGGTACCAACCACTAAATTCTTACCTTGAATACAAAGGTAAGGTGCAATTTTTGGTTTGCTTATATTATTATTATTATTGCATTTCCAAATCTTAAAAAGAAATTTTAGAGTTATAATTTTTCATTAATTTTTAAAATTTTATTTTTTTTATTAATCTTAAAAGGTTATATTGAATTTGTTTCAATTTATCATAATTAATAAGTGCATTACTTTTGTGACCTGAATTATTTTGAGCGGGGTAATTAATTTCAATAGATATTTTGATCAATGTTTATGTTCAAAAACAAAAAATAAACTATATATATATATATATATATATATTAGATTTGTATTAATGTGCTTATAAATTTGCTTAAGTGACAAGGATAATGAACAATTCATGATAAAACAAAGGATATAGGAGTAGTAGTTAGTATTTTCATAAAATTTTCAATTTAAAGAGAGATTAATTAGATCAAATTTGAATTATTATTGTTCCAACAAGAACTGTGGCTGTGGTACAAGTACAAAACCTCCTCCACCATTTTCTTGATGAAGGACTCTAGTAAGATCTCCGAGACAAGCAGAGTAAACAAGCAAAGAACCATGTTCAATCGATGCCAATGTTGGCTTAGGCTTCTCACAGACATTATTTAAGTTACAAGAAAACCATCCCAAAAATGGGAACAAAAATGGAGAAATTAAGGTTATGTGCGGCATGCTTCATGTTCCAGTAAGGGATAAAGGTCAACACTGAGGAAGATCAGACGGTGGAGGAGGCAACTTCTGGTTAGGGAGCTTTCCATCCAAGACTATCCATGCCATTCTTAAGCCCCAGCTCAGATGAATATCAAAGTGACAATGCATCAGCCAAACTCCTGAATCATTAATTAATGAAAAAAATATATATCAGTAAAAGGAATATTCATACTATATTTTCAAAATAAATTGCATAATCTCAATTGTCACCAGGATTGTCTGCTTGAAAACGGATTGCAACCCAACCACCAGAGGGCACACCAACAGTGTTTCTTTCAACAGGATCAACCAGGTTGAACTTGGAAGGGTCATTGTTAGGATCAAAGTTGCCAAAACCCTGGCCAACAACATAGAAGTTATAGCCATGGAGATGGAGAGGATGGCTCTCAGCACCCAGGATACTGGTGTCCTGGAGGACTACTTCCACACTTGTATTGAATGGTATCACCACAACTTTAGTGCCATTACTTACACGTGTGTTGTTAGGTGGAGTACCTGTGTAATTGAATGGATGAAGAGGGAAGGCTGGAAAATCAGCAGTGTAAACCCCACTAGATTGAGAAAAGAAGTAGGACTGCAGAAGTGCAGTTCTTGGGAGAGCAAAAGAGAAATTGTTCATAGAAGCTGCAAATTTTGTGCCATTAGGTCCCTGACAGGTTTGATTTTTGGGGCAGGGATTGCTTCCAAGACCAATTGTGAAGAAAAACTTTTTGTCTACTTTTTGTGGGACATTGGCAGGGAACTTGGCGGTGGCTAAACTTCGTAATTTGCTGGAAAAATTGGCAACAAAATTGGTAGCATTGATCGCAGGCAAGCCTGGTTTAAGAAGTGGACGGTTTTTCAAACTGGTGGAAGGTGAAGAATTTGAAGGTGTTTGATATTCAAGAATACCGGCTACAGTGGTATTGTCAAAGGTACCCATACCAGTGAAATATGGTCTGGCTAACATGAAAAAAGTGGCATTAGGAGCTTGAGATTTGGTTTTCAGGAGAACATTGGTGGTTTGTCCAGGTGCTATCACCAATATATTGGTAACAAAAGGCTTGACATATGCTGCATCAGCTTCCACAACAGTGAAAGTGTGATTTGCAATACTGAAGAAAAGCTCATCATTGAGTGCAGCATTGATCAGCCGTAGAAGATATGTCTTTCCAGGCTTTACCTTCAGCTTATATGTATCTGTAAAATTACATGCATAATCAAAATCCAGTATAATTAGATTTTGCTGTGAATTTAATGAGCCATAGAATTTATGACCAAAAAGGGAGACATACCTTTGGCAGAACAATTGTACAATGGGCCTGGAAGCCCATTAAGGGTGTAGGCATCAGAAACATTTGGCCCACCTCCTGTCTGAAGAGACTGATTGATGACTGCCTCTGGATCAGCGTTAAACCACTCTCCTGTAGTTTGACAAGCAAAGTCAGTATCAAAGAACATCAGAATTTGCATAATGGAGAAAATTTTGGTGATTTGCATAACATTACCAAACAAGATTGGGACTTCTTTATAGGGTTTGACAAAGGGGTAAGATTCATTGCTCTTAGGGAGGATGATAAGTGGTCCATAAAGAGTTGCTCTAAGCCATGAAATGTGAGCATGCCAGAAGAGAGTTCCTCTTTGGCCAGTAATGGTGAAGTTGTAAACATAAGATTGGCCAGTTTGAATAGGGCATTGTGTTATATATGAAGGCCCATCTGCCCATCCACTCCGAAGCTGTCTAATTCCATGCCTGTAGACAACATTAGTTTGCCATTCTCAAAAGGGTTATAACCATGGAAATCAAAACATATACGATTTTACAGAACACTTATTACTCGAAGAAATCCAATGGCTTCTTACCAGTGAATGCTGATATTGTTAGAAACATGGTTAACTACTTTAATGACTAAGCGGTCGCCCTCTCTGGCAATAACACGAGGTCCAGGGAACTCCCCATTAACTGTGACAATGCTCTTAGTACGGCACAATCGGGTGATATTTTTCAGCTTTATCTGCAAAAGAAAATTAATAATGTAGATGAGTTCTTGATCAGGACTGTATTACTTTCATCACTTCACAAGTTATCTAAAGTAAACAATGCAATCCATACGTTGAACTTGTAGTGCCTAGTGATGCCTGCTTCCTTTGCAGTGACAACCTCAGGATAGGCCACGAGACAGACAACAGCAGCAAGGAAGGTCATCAGAACTGCTGGTGATAAAAGAGCTGAAGTACCCATGTTTTTGTTGGACAAGTTAAAACAAGTAGGAAACAGAATATTGGTTAAGTCTTTGAAGTTGGAGTGATTCATAAAAGCCCTGTAGGGATATGTATGTTTATATAGAGACAGAGCGAACTGTCATGTGTCCATGTTTGGTTGATTAGGTAATGAAATGTTACAGGTTTGAGAAAGCAAAGAATTACCAAACCTTGGCCCAATTCTTCACTGTGGAGTATCATTAAAGTCAATTAATTAATCTTTTGTCCTTGTTATTCCCCTCAAACTTATCTTGATACACAAATGTTCACCATTCCTAACCTTAATACGGCTAATTGGTGGTACCTTTTTCCTAGAGAGATTTCAAGAAATTGTTTCAATGGGGAGAGAACAAAAGAAGATTCTTTCATCATACCACTTTCTCAAAAACCAACATAAATTACATGCATATAAAGAAAACAAGTAAAACTACAAGAAATTAATATTTCCATAACAAAAATTTGTCCCCAAAGATCAGTCTTGTCCTGCCATCCTTCACCTTTTCTAATCTGATTTCAAACTTTCAAAATTTGCTTTAGAGGAATCCAAAGTTTAATAGAGTTGATCCATGTAGTATCTTTAAATAGAGACATTCAACATATCTAAATTTGAAATGTCAATCCAATTTCTTTTCTATAAAAAAAAAAATTGCTTTAGGGATAATAAAAGAAAATTATTTATTAAGATTAACGGAGCCATTGAAAGAGATATTCAAGGATAATCATGTTACTTCATATGTTTTATTACTGTTTAAGAAAACAGTGAAATAAACATCCCAACCAATGTGCATTTGACCCTTGTCTCTTTGACCAAATATATATGACCATGAGAATAAATACATCTTTATATATGATATATGCCATCCATTATCATGCTACTGCTAGCTATATTTGGAGGTCTAGTCTAACCGTTAAATCTTGGTAATCAAGACAAATCAAAAGAGTTAGCATCTTCCAATAGCTAGCCAATCAACCAGTGAATTGAAATTTAAGTTCATGATGATGATCATTTTCATGAAAGACTCATTGGAACATGCAAATTTGGTTGATGATGATAGCTTTCTCAACCAAATAGAAACCCCTGGAGGAGTCTGAAAGCTAGGCGAAGAGAAGGACTTTTGACCCACCTTCCTTCCAAGCAACAATAGAAATGATTAGGGGTGTCTGCCTAGCTAGTTCTTATTGTAAACCAAACCAATCACTCAAAGCTTAATCATCAAGGGAAAACCAGATTTAGTTAGAGTCTATTCGGTCTATGGCTAAAAGGGTTTAGTGAAAATAGTTTTATTAATCATACTTTGGTTGCACCAACTGCAATTCTTCTAGGATACCGTTTGTAGTTGTAGCTCTACTTGCTCCAGAGCATGTGCATGTTCCCTTTTCTAGTCTAGTTTTTCCAGCATTGATAAAAACATAGAAAACTTTAGGGATTGAAAGGTGATAGGAATATGCATAGTTTTGAGACATTTTAAGTAGCAGGAAACTTGAAGTAGAATTGTTAGGTTACTTATGACCAATCCTTCAGAATAATATTCTGTTTTTGCAATTATTGCGGCTCTCACTTTTATCCAATATGTTAATAAACTGTCCCAAAATGGTAACGTCCTAGATTTTGTACATTGAAGAATTCTGTCCTTATGTTTGTCAATGGAATTGCCATAAGAATATGTCATATGTGGTGAGATAATGGGCTAGATAGATCTTCCACCAACATAACCAGAATTCCTGCACTAAGATAGGAGAAGGGAATTCACATAGAAGTAGAATAAAGATCTGTGTTGGATGGAATCAAAAAGGAAAATAAAGCTACAAATCTATCCAAAAGGAACTGATGAACTCACACAAAGTATATGAGATTAGATCATGGTGGAATTTTTTAGTTACAGGGCTAAGCATGATCAACATAGACCCTCATTTTCTTTCATGAAGCCCAAAATAGGTAACAGACCGATCCTAGAGGATATTTAAAAGACACACCCAGAAAACGTTATTTGTATGTAACTAAAAACATGTTGGATAAACTTTAATGCATATACAGATTGCATCACTTGGGGAGTCAAGTTAAACCATGTCTGAATCATCTGACTCACTCTCCCTGTTTTCCTGCCATCCTGAACCCATCGTGAACTTACATACAGGACACGTGCCCTGTTGCCGCAGCCACGGATCAATACAGCTGGCATGAAACTGCAAGAGGAGAATGTTTTTAATATATCAGATATCATATAATACAAATGGCATCAAGATCACCACCATTTACAATTTGGTATAATACAAGAGGTTTGGATTTAGGATTTTATTAGCATCGCAACGAAGGATTAAGCACAAGAGCACGAGGATGTCAGTACACAAACAAGAATCAAGATTCATCAAGAATTCAGAAATGTTTGGCAAAATAATGAAAAAGAAAAGTCAACCACAGACTTTAGAATGATAATAGTAAAAGGTCATTCATTTGAGATAGGAAGATAAGACGTTCTATTCTTTCAACAAATCAGGAATTCACAGCTGCTTGTAAGTGAAAATTTTAAGAATAAGCATATTTTCTGAGTCACACCCATTAGAAAAAAATTGAACGAAATTAGTAATAATTTTGCAGTTTAAAATGTTTATGAAGATAGCATGAGAAACTAATAAGGAAAACAGTTCAAATGGAAAGGTTGGAGGAAACACTTATACCGTTACACTACTAAGAGATGGAAAAGTTGCATATCATACAAAATTTCTAGCATTTGATGTTCAACAACATATAATCACTCTTCATTTACAAATTCAGAGGCTTGTAAAGCCTTGCGCCTATTTCAAAAAAAGCGCTAGCTTAAATTGTTGTCAGGTCATAGGCTCCAATTTACTAAAAACACTCAATACTAAACTATTGATGTGAGATGTTGGTTACCGCAATTCATTTCAAATGGAAGATGAAGATAGAAGAAATAGGGGGAACAGAAAACAGTATGATAAATTAACAGAACACCATAAAATCATTAGAGGAAAACATGAGTAGACTGTAAAAATAGAACCTGATGCAAACATGGTAAGCTCCGAACAAGCTCCCCCCTGTTAACTTGATCCAAACAAATAGTACAAGTTAGTTCATCTTCTGAAGCCTTCATACTCCCATCAGCCTTCCTAGAATCTTGCTTTGGCTGCAACATATATATTTGTGACTTAGACTACAAAAACCATCCATGAAACAGTCATATGAAATGATTCAGAAAGATGCAGAGACAGAAAAATTTGTCTTCAAAACTTTAATGCGCTCTCTGATTATGTCAACTTTGAAGATGAGATGTACTCAATGACTTGTTATGTTACCAATATCTTCTTTAAAACATATAAAGCTTCATGAAAGAATTATTACAACTTGAAAATAGCATGATCAACTGCAGAAGGAATTGCTTGAAAGTGGTCTGCAATCACCATTATTTTCTATTTGATTATAAAACACTAAAATTAAAATTACTAACTGATACCTCAACTGGGGCTGATGAAGATGATGCCTGCTGCAGTGATGATCCAGCACTGTTAGAAATAACAAGGAAGATCAATTGATGCAACTACGAATTTGGTAAAAAAAAAAAAAGAAAGCTCTGCATGCTTGTTCACAACCAAAGCAAGTTATAAGTGGTAAAATCCCTACTACCTAAACAGAAGTATGTATGCATACCTCTCTGGGCCAGGGACCTTGTAATTGTGCACGGGTAAGGCATTTATCTCTTCCTCACTCATTGAATGAGTTGTGGGAGTGTTATCGGAATCCAATGCTCTCAGAGTGTCATAATCTGGAGCAGAAAGAAAAGAAGTATTAATCTTCATAAAATCAAACTAAAAACAAGTAAAACTCTCATTGCATATCTGTCAATGCATGTTAAAACCAAACCATGGAATCTTATGACTGAATTTTGAAAAAGCACCATACCTAAGTCATCAAATTCTCGGTCAAGAAGGGCAAGTTGGAGCCTTAGTCCTTGTAAGCGTCCTCTTGTAGCAAAAGCGATTGATGGTGGCATGCGCAAACGCAACTCAGTGTGACCAAGTAAACCACTAGCTGCTGCAGCATGAGCTCGGGCCTGAGCTTGAAGTTGTTGACAAGTTGCATACATCCTCAGGCTTGTAGCCATTAAAAAGACACCCACTACTAGCCAAAGCTGCATGCACAGACACAGAGGATACCTCCATGATAGTCATGTATTAACAGATAGACCAGCATAGTCCCAGCGAATGTGTATTGAGTACATACCAGAAAGTTTGGCGACATTTGGTGAGAGTTTAAAATCATGAACAGCAAAAGAACTGCTGAAAACAAACAGGTAAGAATAGATAGAAAAGCAAGTTAAAGATACAATAAGGAATGATTATTGACAAAAATTAACAAATGCAATAGAAGAAAAGTAGAAAAAATGTGGAACTAGAAACATTACCTGTAACAAGAAAGGCGAGTGAATTGGAATTAACTGGTCGAGCTGCATGTATACGCTGGAAAAAAAAAAAAAAAAAAAAGGCATGATGATAGATCAACCCCCAGTATACAGTATAAGACAATCTGGCTATCCAACAGGTCAAATGTATAGACATGGATAAGCGAACATACCACAGCAGGACGTTCAGGAATAAATCCTGAAAACCCACTCTCAATATCTCCTCTAGTCCCTCGGAAAACAAAGCTCATTGTTGCAAAAATGCAGAAATTCCACTTGTCTAAAAGGTGGCAGATGGTATGCAAACAACTTCTTCTCTTGAAACCTTCAAATCCTATGATACCTCAAATGACTGTGAATCACTATCACAAGTCATTTCAATCAAACAAAGCACTGACAGCGAGGGAGCCATGCTTTATTAAATAGAAATTTACTCGAAATTTACTCAAAATTTAAGGATCGCTGAGTCTAGTATTAAGCTAAAAACACTTTCCCTCACATATTCAATGTTTTATCCACCAGTCCCATCTGTGGCTGGTTAATGGTTATTCACAATCAAAATATGTTATTCTACACTGACATGTTGATGATTTTTAAGATAATGCTTTCGCCTGAGCCTTAGAAATAATTTTTTTCTACATATGGTTACAGAATGTACCCATCTATCAATATGCTGTAAGCGCTAAAGTGGTCAATACAAAACCAAATATCTCAATGTTGTTAATGCCAACCATGACTACAAAAATGTTAAAGCTACTCCAAACTCCAAAGAGAAAGCACCTTAAAAGGAACTGGAATCAAACATGGGAAAATGGAAAAAAAAAATCATAAAATTCAGTGGAAAGAGTCACAGTAATCCCACTACAGATGAAAACAATCAAGACCCAACCACCCAATTTACTGATTCAAAGCATGAAACATTCAAATGTCATTAAAGCTTGACAAACTTGACCCACTAACGAAATCCAATAGACAATTGGTTTAAAGCTTAACACCACGATGTCTTGTTTGTGAATTGCAATGCCATTTACATTTTCAATTTATCATTATTTTAGTAATTTAATATTGTCTTTAAAGCCCCACCCTCTAAAAGTATAGTTAATACTATATTGTTCTAATTAAGCTATACTTTACACATAATCAGAAGCAAAAGATTAAATGTTTATGATTTAAATTCCTTCCTTTGTTTAATTATTTCAACACTATTTTTTTAAAAAATCACATGCAAAGACAGAATCAAGCGTACAATCAAGCAAAACGAATACTAGAATTTAAAAGATGATAAAACCCTACATTGCCCTGTATGAATCAAAATCTCACGAGAAAAAAGAAATAAGTCGACTTTCCAGGTCTTGATTGGCTGATGAGAAATCGCACGGAAAAACAAAAGAAAGTCTCAGTTTTCCTCCGTTTTCTCGGCAAACAAACAGAATTGAATGCAAAGAAACAAAGAAAAAATTCTCTAAAAATACTTACCCAGAAAAATGAAGATCAATCGATCAAACGCCCGTCACTTTGCTTGCATAAAATGAGCAATTTGAGAGAAATTAAAAGGAAATTAAAAGAAAATTTCAAGAAAGTTCTCTCTCTCTCTCTCTCTCTCTTAGCTGTTGCGATTGCGCTCTCTTTATCTCTTTCTTTGTCCGAAACTTAACCGTTGATAGCTATTTATTTTTCTTTTTTTTTTCTTTCTAGTTTTTAGTGTTTTTAGTCTGATGAAGAGCAAGCACTAGAGATTGACACGTGGATATGTATGATCTAAGCCCTGCCACGTGTTATTTTTTGCGTGGATGACTTAATATCTGTCGTTGGATCTTGCATTTGTGCCCCATCGGATTTGTGGTGTGAGCAGTCATCATTACCAAGTCAGCATCTCATTCTTTTCTTGCAATATTAAAAACAAAAACTTGTTTTTTATTCAATAAATGCTCTTCCATTAAAAATAATAATTAAAATGTTATTTTTTAAAAAAATTTACAGCTAATAAATTATTTTAATCAAATTAAAAAATAACATATAATTATATTTTTTTCTTTAAATCTCTATTATACTTAGAGAAAAACATAAACTCAAATGTAAAGCAAATTTTTAATTTAATTCAATTAATTTATATAATTATTTTTAAAAAATAATATTTAATATATCTGAAATTAAATTCGTATTTTTTTATTTTAAAGTATTATTTAAATATTTAAACTTATGATTGATGTTGATTGTTTGACAACATTTAAGCCATTAATGAGATGTTAACAGTTCATCAATAAATTAGAGTAGTTTGGAAGTGGCAGTAGTTTTACAACATTAATGGTTAACCACACACAAGAGCACATCAGTTTTGTTGCCATGTTTTGGTCGGTGGAGTCTCTTCTTTCTCCTTATCTTTACTTCCTATATTTCCAAACCTAAGCTTTGGTTTGAACATGCTGCAGTTAAAAACTTTGCCGAGTCCCAGCTGTGAGCTGTCCATTTGGGGATATGGCCTGGAAGTTGTTAAATACAGCTTTACGTTTCAGGAAATTCATTGACAATGTCACGTGTTTTTCCCTACATTTTATCAGCCTCATCCCAAAGATGCAGTAGGAGTGGCCAGGTATTCATATTTTCTTAAATTGCTTTGTAACCTAAGTAATCTTGTACAATTTTCTTTTACACCTATAATATTTTATTAATTTCAAATTAAACAATAAATGCAAACCTATATCGTTATAATTCAAATTTAGTAACTTTATCTTAGAAATTAAGGCTTCATTTTCATGCATGGTAAGAGAATTCTCATAATGCCATATATGTCATTTTACGATTAGACTTATTGTTACATTTGGCTACATATAAATAAAAAAAATTTTAAAGAAAAAAATAATATATGTATTTTTTGTTTGGATAGTTAAAATTAATAAAAAATAATAATTTTAACAATCATTATTTGGATAAATAATGAAAATAAAATAAAATAATTCATTATAATATTTTTTTCAATTATAACCTTTTTCTTATAAAAAATTATATACAAATATATCTTTATACTACCTAACTTGTACAAATATATCTTTATACTACTAATTTGTATAAATAAATATTTCTAAACAAAATTTAACATATTTAATATAGTAATATGTATTAGCTAATTATTGATTTACTCTTAATTTTATGTTTAATTCAATTTTTTAATTTATTTTAATAATAATTTGACTTATTTTGTTATTAAAATTTGAAAAATTATAAAATATTTATAAACTATGATATTATATAAAATACTCATAAAAAATATATTTTTATAAAAAGTATCAGTTATATGATCAAATTAGTATCATAATAAAAATATAAATAAAATAGTTTTTTTATAAAAATAAAATTTTTTTGACTTTCTTTTTTTTAGCTTTTTTTCCCAATTTGAAGTATTAAAAAAGTGAAGATTACAAGAAAAATAAAAAATTATTGAGTTTACATCTTTTTTATTTCCTTTAAATTAAAAATTTATTCAAACAAAAAGAAAAGATATTTCTATTTTCATTATTTTCTTTTATTTTATTTTTCTTTACTTTCCTTCCTCTTAATTCAAATATAATGTAAAAGTTCTTACCAAAAAATATATATATTTATATATATAGTGTAAAAGTTTACTTATAAATTGCAATTACAGCATGGTGAAATCCCTACTACAATTCAATCAAAAAGACCTGAAATCAAATTTAAATTATTCATGTAATCATCTTTAAAAAATAATATCTAATAAATTTAAAATTCAAATTTTTTATATCCGTAACATTTTTGTTTATTTCAAAACTAAAGCCTCCTATTAAAAAAAAAAAACCCTTAAATTAACAAGTATTTCTACATGAATTTGCTTGCAGAACACAGAGCTTACCTTGCTAATGTCAAGACTCGAGATCACATGCACTCCTTCCAAAAAAAGTGTTGTAATACCACGATCTTTAACTAAAAATCCATCAAAAAATAATATTGATAAAGAAATTGATTACTCAAATCAGTAACCATTCCAATACCGAAACCATTCTCCAAGACTTTACTACTGCTACTAAGCCACAGCTTTTGATGTTTTGTTTAGCTTAGAATTTAAGATGAAGCATTGAAATCAAAATACTTTCTCCATGGAAATTTCTATTTGAACTTTCAGCTTCCAACATCTTTAAGGAAGCATGTGACTAGGTAATTTCCTATAATTAAAAAAAAAAAAACCATTATCCTCCATTCCCTTAAATCTCAAAACCGGGTTGACACCCAAAATGGTTTCTGCATTTCATCAAACAAGCCCAAAATTGTTCAGATTCTTTTAGCTCCATTCCTTTCTTCTGCCTATATAATCATCAAATAACAGATGAAATTGCAACTTGAATATTGGTATATCTAAAATTCGAATTCTTGCCATTTAAGTGCTATTTACAATAATCAAAGAACAAATTTTTTTTTTCATAAATTGAAAACCCAAAAAAAAGTGAAAAAAATTTCCTTATTTTTTTATAATTACCCCCCAAAAAATCTCATTCCAAAACCGACCTTGAGCTTCTGCTTCTACTTCTAGTAAACCTACCAAGCATAGATGTTGAACCATTTCTGGTCAAACCGCCAGATTCTTCCCTTCCACGATGAGACTGAGACCTCAGACTCCTCAAAAACGACATCACATTTCTAACAACTCGCCTGAACCCATTCTCTCTTCTCCTAACCTCAACCCACGCAACTCTCCTCGGAGCTCCATGACCCGAACCCGAGTCTGATTCCCCAAACCCACCATCCATCTCCGTATAAACAACGGGCAATTCCCTTTCTCCTCTAAACCTACCCACCGCAAAAACGCCACCAGGTAACCTCCATATACTCAACCCCACCGTCTCCGAAGCGTCGTCGGTTGACTCGCTGAGATCCGACGGCATTTCGTGGCGGCAAACGGGGCACGAGTTTCGAAGCGCAAGCCATGGGATGATACAATCTTGATGGTAAATATGCTTACATGGCATCTCCCTCGCTTCGGTCCCCAGCTCAAAAGGCTCTTTGCAAACAGCACAGTAAGTTTCCGAACAAACATGGGTCGTCCCTATTTGAATCGTCGGCATTGATTCGATCGCTGACTTCGAAGCCGGCGAGTTCTCTGGTTGCCCCAGTCCGGTTATCTCGATCTGAGAAAGTTGTTCTAATAACCGATCAAAACCCAAGCCCATTAGAGATTCGGACATCGAAGCCGGCATGGCCCTTAAACCCGAACCGGATCTATTGTCATAGAAGAATTCAAATCCGCTATTGTGGTTTCCATTAGTGCTGTTCTCGTCGTCGGTGGTGCCACGTAGGACAATGATTGGATTGATGTTTGATCGGTCAACGGAACGACGATTTCGACGAAAAAGGAGGTTTCGTGTCCGATTCCGATTTTGACGGTTATTACCGTTGCTGGTGATCATGTACATAGCCGGAAATTGACGGTTGTGATTATCCGATGATTCGATCTCCTCGATAAAACCTCCGTCACAATACGGGCATGCAACAGTGTCGTTGGTACCGTTGTCTAAAGCCAGGACGCGAACCAGGCGAGTGCAACTGTAACACCAATACGACGACGTTGAAGACATGCTTGACCGGCGAGAATTCCAGATCCAGAAAAATGGCAAAGACAAAAGAAAGGAAAAAATCAAAGCTTTTCGGGACTGAAAGGAGCTTCACTTGCTTTTAAATCGAAACGAGCCCACCTTAAAGTTTAAACGCCGTAAGATTATCGAGTACACGTGGCGATTTGGAGGTGGATAAAAAGAGAAAATTAACGGCGTTTGGGATTGACCAGTGAAGTAGGGAGTAAGGTTAAGTTAAAAATTGAGGTGAAAAGAGCGAAACTGTTAAAATGCGGGGACGCCGAGTTTGAAATTCAAACAGTTGGCAAGAAATGAAAGGCGCGTGTGACGTGTTCGTGCGCGGATGGGAGCTGGACGGAGCTACTAGGAAGATTCTTTAAAACGAGGCAAAGAGTGTCTTGTTCCGTGTTGGCGAGTGAAATGGACCCACACTCGTCCTGTGCTAGTAAAAAATAGTCCCAACAACGTCTTATTATGTGATCTTACTTCAACTCTAAGTTTTGGCATAGTTAGGGTGTACGATAATATATTGTTGGAAATTATTCAATGCATAGGTTTAATTAAATTTAAAAATATTATTAAATAAATTTATTAAATTATAAATATAATAATATTTATTTATATTCATTCATATTAAAAAATATAAACAAATAAAATGTTTCATCAATCATTCATAAACACTTTATTTATATTTTTTTATTAAATTTAATATATGATAAAAAACAACATTTTATGATTTATTAATTAATAAAATAAATCATAAATATAAAAGTATTTATAATTTATAAATCAAACTTAACCTAAATTACGACTCAAAAGATTATCCAAACTTGTTTCTTCTTAATACCATTGCAAGGTCCACTTTAATATATTTGAGATTTTAAAAATTGTTAATTTAGGTCTATTGTTGTTGGCAAAAAAAAAAAAAAACCCAGTCTCTCTCATTTCCAATACAGTCCAATTGGAAGGGTCAAGCAATGTGTATTTATCACGAACCTAAAAAAAAATCTTGAATTTCACATCGAATATAATAAGGAAGGTCACTGGGATATATAAGGGTTCACACCACCTTTACCTTGTGAGACAACTTTTGAAAGACAAAATCGTGAGGTCAGAGGGGCCATAGTAGATAATACCTCACAAGGGTGTGAACCGTAATAAGAAGGCTGATCTGAGACGTCGAATAGGTGAATGCCCGGGTTCCGGAGCCGCGCGGATTCGGAGCTTAAGTCTCGACCCGTGACAAGTGATATCAGAGCTAGCCCTAAACCGTTCAATTTACGTCAAGCGCCTCGAGGAAGGTAGACAGGATGGCCAGCCTCCGTGATGAGGGCGTCACGAAGTTGGGTGCGAGAGAATATCACGGACTTAAGTAAGAGTCCTGAATCTCACATCGAACATAATAGGAGGGTCACTAGGATATATAAGGTTCACATCACCTCTATCTTGTGAGACGCCTTTTGTAGGATAAAACCGTGAGGTCAGAGGGGTCAGAGCGGACAATACCTCACAAGGATGTGAACCGTGGCAGGAAGACTGATCTGAGACGTCGGATGGATGAATGCTCGGATCTCGAAGCCGCGCGAATTTGAAGCTTAAATCTCGACTCGTGACACATTCACTTGCATATGTTAATTGACAAAAAATAAAATAAAATTTAGCCCTGAACAAAACTTAAAACTTGCATCTGATTACTTTGCTTTTCAATTAACTTTTAATCACTATTTATAGATATATTTTTTGTATCCATCCGTTACAAGTATTCATAGATTTTGTTTATGTTTTAATTAGTTTTTCAAATAAATTTAAAATTTTATTTTTTACATCAATTTAATATATTTAAGTTTCACAATTTTATTTTCGAAATACAATATTTTTGATAATCAAATTCAAAGTAACAAGAAAAAGATAGTCATATGTTACAAAAAAAAAATCTTGCTCATATTAATTTACATGAGAATCCATTTGGTAGAGCAATAGAAATCTTTTCTTCTCACATTGAAGTATCCTTTTGACACCAAATTATATGGCACTATGCTAAAATGATACATAACTTTCCCACATTACCAAATTTAACTCTAATTTATAAGTATAATAGCATCAGAAATTTAGAATCTAGGAACCCCTACCTGTTTGAAACCAAAAAAAAAAAAAAAAAGTGTCCACCAAAAGGAGGAAGATGCCATGGCCTATGAAACAAAAAGTATATAGAGTAGCATAGTCACTGTTGCTTACACTCAGATTTTGGGTGACAGATCAAAAGATGAAAAAAGAAATGTTGGGCTTTGGCTTTGGCTTTTTCTTTGTCATAGTGCACGCCTTAAAAGTACAAACAAACATTTTATTTGCAATTGCTATATTAATGATTCAAGACTTCACTTTGAGGCCCCTTTTTGGGGGATCTTTAGTGTGCTCAATTACATTCTAATTCACCACAAATGAAATTAAAGTAGAATAATATTTATCACTCAATATTTTAGGTTTTTTTTTTTTACATTTTAATAGATATAAACAGTAGTTTAAGTCAAGGTATGTTAATATTTTTGTTATTATTAAAATACATTTACAATCCTTTGTCTTTTTATATAAGGAAGTTAGGTTAATAAATATTGTTTACCATAATTAAAATAAAAATATTATTTTCGTGCATGAACTTTATATAATTTATATTTTTTATATTTTTACAATGAAGTTGAAAGTGGAAATTTTTTTTATATTTTTATAATTTTCATGAATATTTCTCAAATCCCACTTCAAAAAAAATTTGACACAATTTTACAATATGTTTTGAAATTTAAAAAAATTCATTACTTCTCATCTTACTTAAACTTTTGATAGGAGATTTTCTTGACTTTGAAAATTGATCAATTACTCAGTCAAATAATAATTATTATTGAAGCTTGCTACAGTCTCTCTTTTAAGTTTTAATGTCTTCAATTTTGAAATTACAAGTTACCATTTTAATTATAGTTTGAAAATTAGTAAATACATGTGATCTTAAAATATATATGTACTATGTCAAAATTAATGGTCATATTTAATTAATAAATTTAAATAATTTGATTATTTAAAATATGATATAATAATATAATACGAAAATAATATAAAAAAATGACATGATTTAAAATTTTAACAAAAATCATATATGAATTTGATAAATCTAAAAAATATATATTTTATAGTTTTATGTTGATATGAATTATGATATAATTTTTATTAAAATATTATACAAATATATAAATTATTAATATTTTATATAATACAAAAACATAAATTATTACATCTAAATTTACAAGAATTTTAATGCAAAAAAAAAAAAAAAGGGAATTTTGACCTCCTTTCCTTGCTTGTCTAGATAAATTTGTGGCATCTTTCAAATCCCCTGCTTCTTTCTCCTTTCACTTTTTCCAAGTAAAAGTAGTAGCTTTCAACATTTCATAAGACATTGGCAACAAAAAAAAAAAAAAAGAGTATATTCTTGTGAAATGAACAACAAACAAGAATTAAATAATCAATAATTAAAGCTCATTTGATTGATTCTTTTAATATAATAAAAAATTAACTAAAAACAAAACGAATAACAAAAAACAACTAAACCAATTAATCGAGTAAAAAGAAACAGTATTTTTTTGGTGTCATTTATGCTGATTATCATCATATCTAACACATGATTAAGATGCTGTTTCATATCATTTATTTATTTATTTATTTTGTGCATAAACCCAAATTTTTTAATTATATATTTCCTTTAAGCAATCTATACTAGTGGGGACTGGCTATGCGCATGCTTAGCCAACCAACCACAATGGTCGGCCCAATTAATCCAATCAAAAGTTTGATTTCTTGATTAATTGTGTTGGGCCTAACCAATACATGTAACTCTCTGGGGCCTTGCTCATTATTCTAAATTCTATCACTTGACAAAAAAAAAAAAAAAGAATATTATAACGTGATTTGGGATAAGGTTTCCTTTATATTAAAAAATTAAAAATTCTAGTAAATTTTATTAGTAATTGACTAATTACTTGAGCAAGCTTCAATCATTTAAAACATTTTTATTTTATCTTGATATAGATATAATTATAAATCATATTATCCTTGAACGAATTAATTTTTATAAAAAATTTTTTTTTTAAAATAAAATAAATAAAATTTCCTTCTTATCAAACAGTATAAAATGGTGCACTTTATGCATAGAAAATCATCAAAAATCAATTCAAAGATTTAGTCAAGTATAATGAATTTTAAGTGGAGCTCATGGTTTGAAAACAAGCTTTAAGTGAAGACTCAAAAGTTTTGGCTAACGAGTTGATTAATTAAAGGACCACATACATCTTAGTCATAAGTATGAAATTGAAAACAAGTTTTCATATAAAAAACATACAATGTACCCAAAATTAGAAAATAAAATCAAGAAATTTAACTTTTGAAAATTGATTCGAAATTGTAATGTTCGATTCGTTTTGATTTTTTTTTATTTAATTTAGATTATATTTAAATGTTAAATGTATATATTAAATTTACATCGAATTTCAAATAAAAAGTAAAAAAATTATAAAAAATTAAATCGAATTAAATTATATATTTTTAATTCTTATATATTTTTTAAAATTTTATAAAACAAAAATAATAATTTTATGTCAAAATCAACTTAATATATTAAAATAATAAATAAAAATTAAAATAAATTAAAAATACAAAATTGATAAATTGAATCGAACTAAATTAATAAAATTTGATTCAGTTCGACTCAATTCGAATTGAATAAAAATTCGATTCAAATTCGAATTGAATTTTAAAATTTTATAATATTATATAATATTAAAAAAAAATTAAATCGAATTCGAATCGTGTTTAACCATCCATTATCATCCTTACCCGTAAACTTTACAAATCCAAAACCATACATTTATCATTATTATTCATATTCAACCAAATGATTTATCAAATAATACAATTAATTCATATAATTAACATTCAATAAACTTAAAATTCAAAACATAATATTTCTCTATTGCTTTTATTTTCAAACTATTATATCATTTGTATAAAAAATTATCCTTAATCCTAGAAATTGAAAAAAACGTTATTTACGTGCTGAGAT